TCAGGGTCGATATCATGATGAACAGATGAAGCGATTGAATGAGAAGGTACGTTTAGCCCTCTGTGTCCTGGCAGGTGGCAATGACATGTGCTGCACACACACACACACACACACACACACACACACGCACACACTCACACACACACACACACACACACACACACACACACACACACACACACACACACACACACACACACACACACACACACACACATGTAGATTGTAGTCATCAGTGTCACATGATCATGCAATCAATTAGGCATACCTTGAAAGGGAACAGGTTGTCGCACAAGTTTGCCGAAATTATTGCCAAATATCAACATGATCATCTAATACCATTCTTCTGCAGACTCAGATTCACAGTGTCTGCAGCAAAATTCTTTCTCTTTTGTAGGATCTTTGCCTTGCACAGCGCGTGTAGGTTACATGTAGCTAAGGCTTGGGGGGGGGGGGGGGGATGGTCTATGCGGACAGCAACTGGTCTTTTTCTTTGCGTGTGGAGAGGTGTGTTGTTTTCCGGCGAGTGTTTCTGAGCATTGTTTTCTATGTTTGCATTCTGCAGGCTGCGGAAGAGATGTTTTGCACGCGCAATGCAAGCACTGCTAAGAATGTGATTGACGTTCATGGACTGCATGTCCAGGTAGAGCTTGTGTCTGTAGGCTCTTGCTGGATTCATTGATTGTCATCACGTGTATTGTATAATGCCTGTACTCGGTGTGTGCGTGTGTGCGAGTGTGCGTAACGTACTGGTCACGTCACAGTATCACTATCAGTATTGCACCAATCACTCCCACAAAAGGAGAATCTCTGTGCAGAGGTCAACCTGTTCAACCTGTTGCATGGTCACTTTCACCTGGCTAAAGTCTGGACTGGTCGTACACAAGAGGGCCTACACTGTACTAGTAACCATGGTAACAGCCATAAACAAGCTACATGCACAATTCTGGTATCAAGCCTCAAGATAAGACATTCAGTTGAGGTTGAATGACTGATGAGTTCCAGAAATCATGCTCACCCACAAGGGTGTACTAGTAGATGGAGGGTGGGGGGAGAGATATGCTGAGGCTAAGCGTGCTTTTTAGGCATGCTTGCCTAAAGGAGAGCCAAGGATTAAAATAGAGAGGACCCTATGTTTACAAGTTATTCGTTTTGTTCACAGGTGCATGTGTACATTTGTCCTTTATTGCATTTGTCCTCACACACGCACGCTCTGTTTTGTAAATGTTTGCCTTGCAGGAAGCTCTGGATCGCCTGGACACATTCCTTAGCCAGTTTACAGCCCATGTCCACTGCAGTAGTGCCAGTAGTGGTAGTAGTGCTGCTAGCAGAGCACAGTATGCTTACATCATTACTGGTACAGGTCATCACAGTGTACAGACTCGCTACAAAGCAAAGTATGTCAGTTGGCTGTCATTGCTGCTGCTGCTGCTGCAAAGACCTTTATCCCTGAGTTCAAGTGACAATACGTCAATGCATTGCCTTGAAGAATAATAAGAAGAAGAAAACAGATTGTCCCAATAGTTTGCCCAAATGGCTGTCAAATCACTCCTTATAGTTATACCACTCTTCTCTACTGAGATTGACGTTACTGCTAGCGGAATATTCTCCTTTGTACGATGTCTTACACCTATTATTAAAGTGTGACATGAACCTTGTGAAAGTGGTTTATGGAATTGATGCCAGCAAATAGGCTGTGCCACCCCACCGAAATCCACATTACTGTTTAGGCCAAAACAAAAAATAGGCTTGTTTCCGGTCGGCAACCCCTCAAAAAGGAGACTCGGTCGGCCGGAATGAAACTTTTTTTGGATACTTTTTTTGGTTCCTCAATCGTTGTGGTATTGATGGACAAGAGCACCTACACATGTACATTGTACATACATCATGGCAAGGATCAATGTCAAAGTTGACTGACTCACTGTTCTTGTACAGCATGTGGTGTATTCCTGTTTTCGTACATCCTGAGAAATCAAGCAAACAGTTCGAGTCCTTCCAGCTCCGTTATTCTAGCTCGTATCGACCCCGGAGGTTTTCGAGCAGACAGCTGAGAATCTCTGCTACCTTGTAGGTGTTTCGATTGTGGAATTCGGTTGAGATTTGACTGAGTTATGACTCGTTGAGTGCACTTGCACACATGGCATTGCCACCGTTTGTATACATTTGGGACCAAAAAAAAGTTTCAGAATTTGGGAAAAAGTGGCCCGGTCGGGCGACCGGAAACAAGGTCATTATTTGTTTTGGCCTTATGAACATAGTGTGCCCATGTTCCATGTTCCCCCAGACAAACTTCAAAGGAGTAATGGCATTAGTCACTAATGGTGTGTGCTGTGTGTGTGTATGTGTGTGCGTACGTGTGTGTGCGTACGTGTGTATGTGTTTTGTGAAGGTTGCAGCCAGTCATCGTGGAGGAGCTACGTAGGAGACAATTACAAGTATTTGACTGCAGCAAGGATGGCCGTGGCGGTTTGTTACGCGTTACAATGCCGAGCTAACTCTTAGTGGAAATGTCACGGTGTAGATGTAGCTTTCTATTTTTATCTTTTACTCAGGTTTTTATGTTCTAGTTTTCACAACAGCACACATCACACTGAGATGTCACCTCAGGACAGTCGTATTGAGTATTACAACTCAAACGTTGGTTGCTTTCAACTACTTCTACTGGGAGCGGGTGCGTTCTGGTGGTTTTACTTTACGTTCGTGCTTTAGTGTTCTATCTTCTGGCATACATGCAGCAGGCCTACTAGACATCTCAATCACTTTTGCTCCTTTTCTTAGAAAGGAGACGGTAGGAGATCTATTCTGTTGTCTGATGCAGCGTATTGGAGCTTTCGACTAGCATGCTTGAGATCCTATTCTTGTTATCATTATTACATGACGGATGATTATTTATAATGTAGCTGTTTCCCTACATGCCTAGCACCTACGTGTGCGTGCGTTAGCTAGAGTACTCTTCGCGCAGCCATGCATTATTATTATTATTATTTAAATTTTGAATAGGGCAATGGTAACCAGGGAGTCGTAAAATCCCTGATGGTAACCCACTGAAACCAGGCGTGGACCTTCTCTAGCTCTGCCATACCATTATTCTTTTTGACATTTTTTTATTGTTTTTTTATGAGCTATACAACTTTCGGAAAAAGAGGATGGTGCGACTTCGGCGATACGTGTGTCGCTCCCTGCATGAAGAGTATTATAAGCAGGGAGTAGTACAATAAAGTATTGTACTACTACTTGATTATAAATATAAGCCACCACGCATGGGGCTGAGTTATTCTTGATGTACATCAGGCCAGCTGCTGCAGGGAGTCGTAAAACTCCCTGGACTCGCCATGGAGTAAAGACTATAATACAAGTACCTACAAAAAAATTGTAAACTTCTTGTACTAGTCTGTACGAGTCATGTACTGGATCGCGATTCGCGTACTAAAAACCGGGTTTTTTGTACTCGATTGCCATATATGATGTCATCGACGTCAGTGATATCGATGATTGATGAAATCGAAACAGCCTTGCACATGTCATTGTACAATTGTGTGACAACGAGAATGGAGTGAGATGTCCCAAAATACTATCTTCAAGGGCAGCCTGGTGGGATCATAGTGGGAATACACTACTCCAAGCTAACTAAACTACTTATTTAGCTCAAGAGGGTCAGGTTCGGTTGTTCGTGAAGCTGCGTTGGGCTCGTTTTCATCACAGACATCAGAGATGTTGTAGTGTATACATAATTGAGAACTGTTGTAAGCGGCTTGCCTTCACTACTTAAATCTTTGCATTCAACACTGGAACTAGAGTTACTTCAGTGAAGGGACGTGCAGGTGGCTGCTAGAGTGGACGACACGATGCCGTTTTATGCTGTGCGGCACGGCGCCTCTCCTGGTGTCTATAAGACCTGGGACGAATGCAAGGCACAAGTCAATGGATTTTCAGGGGCAAGGTATAAGAAATTCTCAACCATGCCGGAGGCAATGGACTTCATTGAGGCACGGGATGGCGTTGGTAGAGGTGCCGGTATTAGCGGCGCTGCAACTAGAGGGCATAGTGTTGCACAAGCTCATGGCGGCGGAGGCAGCAGTCGGTTCAGCCTTGACCAGACCGTCCCCATTGCGAAAGTGAAGTATGCTGGGAAACGCAGCCGTGACTACCAAAGCGACCAGCCGCACAACAAACTATATGGTTATGATAATGCAGATGTACCCGTATCTGAATCGGATTCCGACGAAGACTATGGGTATTCCACACCGAAGAAGTCCAATGTGCGATCTGCTACTCGTGCTACAAATCGCTCAGCATCCAAAACACGAACAAGCAATCCCAGGGAACCGCAGCCCGTAAAACTTGGCAGCAGGCCTGTGGTGTTCGTAGATGGTGCATGTTCGAACAATGGTAACTATGGTGGCGAAGCAAAGGCCGGCGTTGGCGTTCATTGGCCAAGCGGCATAGCGCCGGACTTGCGTGAGCCACTGCCCGGTGCTAAGCAGAGCAACCAGCGGGCAGAGATGATGGCTGCGTGCCGTGCCATGGAGCAAGCTTATAGTGCAGGCCTGTCGACTATCGAGATCTGCTCGGATAGTATGTACACGATTAAAGGCGTCAACGAGTGGATGGCAAATTGGAAAAAGCGCAACTGGGTGACGACGGCTTCGAAACCTGTAGAGAACCGTGACCTCTGGCAGCGGCTTGACACTCTCACTAATAAAGTCAATGTGAAGTGGACACATGTGCGTGGGCATGTGGGCATTGTGGGCAACGAGCGTGCCGATCTCTTGGCCCGACAGGGGCAAAATGCGAAGCAAGCATGACAATAGCTTCCACCACCATTCACCTATTCATTGCACGCAAGAGAATATACTGAAACTGGCCATTGATCACAGTTTTACTATTCTCGCTGTTCTGCTACAGTTGACCGCATAGAACTAGTTCAGTCCAGTGTAGCTTGCCCTGGGTCATTTGTTCCGTGTTAAGTTTTACTTCTCCCACAATGAACCGCAAGGACGAGAGGAATGGTTTTCGCATCGGGTTTGGCAATCTTTTCAGCATTACACCTTTTTACTGTACTATTTTGAGTATTTTCCAACCGTACTTTTTTTATCATCGGGTGCAGTTTCTTTCGGTTGAATGTGTTTGTACCATGATCTAAGTTATAAAAACAAGAAGGCTCTTTTACTTTGATTCAGTCTTTGATTACTTATTTTTTTACAAGATAGTTGTCAGGACGGTTTGGTGCTCACAACACTGATACAACTTCTAATGATTTATTTTGAAAACGTCTCACCAGGTGTGCAAATTTAACTCAGATACTGAGCCGGTAAATATCGAGTTATGAAGCAACTATCCACGACTGAAACAAGATAATAAGCAGTCAGAAAGTGCGATAACAGGGCACGAAACTGACCCCTCATAGGACCTTGAACCTTCCAAGCTGGAAGGCTGTTGGTTTGCGCACTGGAGATGTGTTAGAGCTAGGTCTCAGGTCGTTGAATGTCTTAGTAGCCTGTCAGTTTTGTGCCCTGTTATCGCACTTTCTGACTGCATATTATCTTGTATACAGTCGTGGATAGTTGCTTCATAACTCGTTTCCATGTGATTTCTTCTATTTGAATTTTAAAAACGTCCTATTTTGTTTGTACACCGAGCATTGTCTTCACCGCCATTGCTATTATAATAAGGGAATTTGTCCCTGTGAAACGTCTTAGCCTACACATCCCCATTCAGCTTTGGTGTGCGGCAATATCAAGAAAACTCTAAGTCAACCAATTTAACATTATTACTGCATCGTGTCCTTTCTAGCAGCATGACAAATTGACAATGCTTGAGTGGCCCAAGACCACCCTCCAGGGCATACCGGAAGCCCATAGCAACTTCCACTGTTGTAAGCACCACTCACTGCGACACACTTCACAGTTCACACCCCGTTTTTGGAGCAGTCCAAAAACATGTCATGAGCAAAATCGAATTCAACACAGCACCAACTCTAATTCAACAAAATTGAATGTACTACAATTGTAGACACCTACATCATGTATATGAGTGTTGGTGTTAAAGATAAGCTCTATTTCAAAGATACCAAATATCAGAAGAGTAATTTATAGTATGATGGTGTTCCCGTGTGTATTTTATGGTTGTACTGATAACAGACAATAATTATGAATCCATGATATTCGACTATCAAGGACATAACAGTTTGCCGCCCCTACACACAGAAGTCACAAAACTATAATAAAAAATTCTACAGCAAACTCGACGTCACGTGCACACTGGTGCCAGCCCTACATGTGTGCTACTACATGGACATGGATGGAAGGAATTGCTGATATGGTGGGGGGTATACATATTACAGGATTTACGCGAACTGCGGATTAATCAATAAACCGGTAGGAAAATGATAAAAAAGGATATGCCAGATGGTACTAAATAACAAATACGTACACTGGATGTGCTGCTCTGGTTTGAGGGGTCAGGTTCTGGCAGCTGCAGGCCCTGTAGATGCACTCACCACTTGACCGGCGACGTTTGTGAAGTTATCGCGGGTCACATTGTGATCGGCAGCAACACGCGACGCACCGCTGACACCGCCGCTGACGAAACCCCAAACTCCACCAACGGCCGCAGCACCGACCGCACCAATAACACCAACGCTTTTCTGGCCAATGTCACGTCCTTTCTCGGCCCACTCCTGTTCACGATTGCGACCCGATGCCGGGACACCATCCTGCTCTGCGCGTACAGCTTCATTGCGATCCACGGTTGCACCGACAACACTGCCAATGACACGTCCCGCTGATGCTCCGAATGAAGAGCCAACACGGCCACCGATCGCTCCGAGGTGTGCACCTTTCCGTACGGCTGTAGTTCCTGCTTCGTTTGCCACTGTACTCAGGACAGTGTCCACCTGAGCACTCACTGCTTTATCATATCTACACCAATTGACAAAGTGCTCACAGTTCTGACTGATCAGGCTATACCCTGGCTCCCCAAGCTTTCCATGAGCGCGGATCATGATTTGGTCTACAGGCAGGGGCTGCAATTGGTCATCGAACATGTTGTGGACCCACCACTGCTCTCCTGGTCGCGCGTAGTCGGTGAACAATTGCTTGCAGATGTGCACACCCTGGTCAGGAACACGTACAGCAACAGCACCCTCCGTGGCCGGGTTGGCACGATGAATAATATAGTTCCCACCGACATTCATGGCATAATGGACGCAGTGGTTACGTTGCACAGCCACGATATCTCCTGGCATACCAGGGCAAATTCCAACAGACGCATGATACTGACGATGGTCCATCGTAAAGATCACAAAGGATAGCGAAGGAGTTAGAAGAAAAACTGAATTCTTCAAAGGCGATGGATTTTCTCTGCTCCAGAAAAAGATACACTATGTACTGCCAGTTGTACTGTAGTTGGCTTCTCTGCGAAAACGAACACCAGTTTGTGCTCTGGAGAGCTCAACCTTTTCGTTTTGTTCAGTTGTCTTTTCAGCTTTGTTCCTTCTTCTTTCGAATCAGTTCTGATCACGTCATCGCACTCGAAATGACCTACAGAATGACGATTGACGAGATCTCACGTCACGCGCACGTAGGTCTACGCGCCGACGTGATCATCATCATCATCATCATGATCATGTCACAGTCCGTGCGCCAGTTCAGAAAAAGTCGTCTAAGGGCATGTTCGATTGGTAGGATCGGGATCCCGATCCACCGGATCCACTGGATTCGCACCCTTTCGATTGGTCGAATCCGGATCCGGATCCTTCGGATTTGGATCCGGTCAACCCACCTCGGGGAGCAGGGTTGACCGGATCCAACGGATCCAAATGTGACCTTTGTGCGTATATGGCGGGTAAAAATCATTTTTGTACACATTGTGGTACGCACACGTGGATGGAGATAGAGCTTGTTGACTTTTTGTACGACGCATGCGATGAGTACGACGTTCACCCTTTTGGGTGCCTTGTGAGCGCCATTTTCAACATGGCAACAGTCAAGGTCCAAGATAAAGTGTTCAGTTGAATCTGAAGGATCCGAGGGATCTGAGATCTGGATCCCGATCCCGATCCTTACCAATCGAACATGCCCTTAAGGTGGCAGGCTACCTTCAGAATTGGGAAAAATCGAATTTTTGATTTGAGGTTAACTGTGATACTTTTCTGATTGGGGTAGCCACAAAGCATTAGAATTTAAAATTTTGGGTCAATCGGTCCAGTGGCTCCGGAGTTATAGTGGATTGTAAGTGCGACAATCCGCGATATTCATGTTAAAACAAAATGGCGTCACGATTTATTGAAAGTGGTATAGTTGGTGGTACGAGTGTTCAAACCCATTTGAACTTCATACTGTTCGTCTTCTTTTTGACATGCTCTCTTTCCATCGTCCTTAGCTTTTGTTTGTTGAGAGCTGTTTTGGCTTTCTCCTATACCTCTGGGGGATGCCAAGCGATGGTTTTGAGAGACTGGTGATGGCTGTGAGCGAGAGTTTGCCGATCGGCGTCGTCCTCGCTATAGCGATGAAAATACTAGTTACTGCGCACCTGGCAGATATCACAACACGTCGGAGCGTCCAGGAGCAAAGGAATCTTGGGTTTTCACTGGAATCTAGTTCCTCCAGCATCGTGCAGCCCACCGTCGGTGAATGGCGGTCCAGAAAGGTCGAAACTGGTCTTCTGCAGCATCTCGCAGTCCTGCGAGGCACACTGAATACGCCTGTCATGTATTCTACAAATAAAAATCACGAAGTAGTGGACTTTACAGTGATGAGTCTATCCTGTATGCTGCAAAAGACGCAGGAAATGTCACTGGTGTCTGTACACTCAGTGACTGGACGCCAACACCCCAGTCTTCTCCTGCAGGATCTGTTTGACATTGACATTATGCAGTAGGTCGGCATTGACCTGGTTTGGCAGCTATCGTAATAGTATCTGCCTGGTTGGATGTAGCAGGTTGGTGTTTGCTCGTCGTCCAGTGCGGAATTTTCTTGTAACTCACGGTGGAGTACGCGCAGGGCTTGTGATCATCCCTGTTCACTTCAATATTATCAAACACAACGTTCCCTTTGTCACTCATCTTATCCTCAGTACTGAATTTGCTGACAATATTGCACCACACTTGTCACAACCTACCGCCACTGCTGGCGGCGGCGACTGGTTCGTCAATGGCGGTGACCAGGCTGACTGACTAGCTTCGAGACAGCGGCCTCGTTGTCAACCCCGCGGCAGCCTAAAGGTTGATTTTATCGATCCAGCCTCAGCGCCATGTTGACGATGCCCTAGTGACTGTGTGTCATGGATTGCCTTGCCATCAGCGGTCATTGCCGTCCACCTTGATGCAGCCCTCAACAACTGGCTCAGCCCATGGGAGTCTCAAGTGGACAAAGTTGTTGCCAAAGTAGCTCAGAAGATTGGTGCATCGTGGTGTGAGTGAGCACATAACTAGGACTTCCCAGCGCCTATTTGTCCAGGCTGCGATACTATGTGACATGCTGTACTGCACCGCATTCTTTTCAGCACTGCAAGGCCGGCAGCTGGACCGACTGCAGGCCGCCTGTTGCCAGTGCAGCATTCTGGAACGTTCCTTCCTTCTGAGATCCGTGGAATAATAACTTTCTTTGCTTCAAAGCAAGTTGCTTACCTTTCTGTTGTGCTCCCAGTGTCCTTACAACAATAACCTACAGCAATGTTTTATTTTCCTTTCCATTCCCCAACCAATGAATACTACGATGTCGATTCCATTTCTTCATACTTTGGTGTGTGCCCGCGCACGCACGTGTGTGTGTGTATACCTCACTCGCCACTCGAAGTTCTGTTCCCCATCACTGGAACACTGCCTGTTCTTTCAGGACCTGCCATCATCTGCGGATGGGCATTCAATGATTGTATTGTGTGTGTGTTTCATTCAGAATCAGATCCGCTATCGTTGCTATTAGAGAAAATCTGTGGGTTCACATCCAGTGCATATTTAGATTTGCGTGCTTTTCTCGCCACGGGCGCATACAAGGGACATTGTGTGTGTGTGTGTGCGTGTGCGTCTGTGTGTATGGGGATATTGTCTGTATCGGCTTTTGGTACTAATGTTCAGGTCTGTGCTTGCATGTGTGAACATGAAATTGTTCGGTTCTGTGCATGCTATTGCTATGTTGTATATTATTGTATGTATGTGTGCATTTCCACGAACAGTGTAGACGAGCGTGGAGATTGCATTCATCCCTCATCAACCACTTCCCCTTGGGCTCACGAGAGTTTTTTCTGCGTACCTCTCATTTTTGTTTGTTTCTTTCTGATACTGTATTGATGCCGGTACCTGTACCTCGATGTGTTCCTCTATCTGCAGTCGCCTTTAATCTTCAGTCAAGTTAACGTTTATTGTGCTCTATTTATCGTGCGAATCAAAATAAACAATAATAACACAAGTCGTGCTAGAGTGACGACATGTGCGTGTAGTCACTCTAGCACGACTTGTGTTAGTGGTTGATGCGATGGGACGTTATAATTAGGTGGAACAGAACACACATTGGGCAGATTGATTGGGCATCATTGATTGTGCTCAGTCTAAACAGTGAACATAATAATTATCTCCAGTGACAGACTGTAGCGGCTAGCCTCCAATAGGTAGCTGGCACTAGTCGCTACTGCTTGTTTGACAGGTGCTGCCAGAACCCCTGTTGTGTCATGCTATAGATGCACATGCCCTGTTCTGGGGCATACTGAGGTACTTTGATTTTGTTGACTGCATGTAGACAGGCGGGATCCAATAGTAGTTCTCGTAGACCTTGGCTCTTTGTAGGTCAACCACCATCGCATGGATCGATCGGTGACTATGCACTTGGAGGTTGGAATAGCCCGCGCTGAACAGATCTTGCCATGGCCCAGGGAGTGAACTCGCTTACTCGACTATCCCGGTTTTAGTTAACCAGCATGAGTGGTGCAATTTGTTCATACCATGTTGCGAGCTCACAGTTGTTTGGGCAGGTTTTGAGCTGCAACACGAAACAAAGCGAAATAACGGCGTGACTGTAGAGCAAGGAAGCGGCGAGACGGCACTTCCAGGACAAGACAGGCAGTAGAGATGTGTTCACAGCACGAGCAACCTCTCAAACTCTGCCGGTACTCCACAGTTACAAGAAAATGTCAGACTGGACGCCGCGCCAATGCAAACCTGCTACATCCACCCAGGCAGATAGCTGCCAAACCAGGCCAATGTCGACCCACTGCATACCGGTATGTCAATGTCAAACAGATCCTGCAGGAGAAGACTGGGATGATATTGGCGTCCAGTGTACGGACACCAGTGACATTTCCTGCGTCTTTTGCAGCATACAGGATAGACTCATCACTGTAAAGTCCACTACTTCGTGATTTTTATTTGTAGAATACATGACAGGCGTATTCAGTGTGCCTCGCAGGACTGCGAGATGCTGCAGAAGACCAGTTTCGACCTTTCTGGACCGCCATTCACCGACGGTGGGCTACACGATGCTGGAGGAACTAGATTCCAGTGAAAACCCAAGATTCCTTTGCTCCTGGACGCTCCGACGTGTTGTGATATCTGCCAGGTGCGCAGTAACTAGTATTTTCATCGCTATAGCGAGGACGACGCCGATCGGCAAACTCTCGCTCACAGCCATCACCAGCCTCTCAAAACCATCACTTGGCATCCCCCAGAGGTATAGGAGAAAGCCAAAACAGCTCTCAACAAACAAAAGCTAAGGACGATGGAAAGAGAGCATGTCAAAAAGAAGACGAACAGTATGAAGTTCAAATGGGTTTGAACACTCGTTCCACCACCAACTATACCACTTTCAATAAATCGTGACGCCATTTTGTTTTAACACGCATACGGTCCATTACAAAATTGAATATGAAATAAATTGCATGAAATTGCAAAAACAATTAAAATTTTCACCAAAGTCATTTTTGCGCTATTTTCATCAATTTCGATCGTAGCGCTCTAATTTTTTGACGCGAGCTAGCGGGCCTCCTCTGCGATCCGTTGCCGTGGCAATCATTTCCAAAATGGCTGCCCTTCATGACGTACGCGAGGTAGACAGTCAGCTGACATCAAAATAAATTTTGTCAGCGAAGTGTCAGCATGCAAAGCAAATAATTGTTGTAGCTTTGTTTCATCAAGCCTTGTCAGTTTTGTTTTGATATTGCTGGAGACGTAAGCCGTGGTGGATCATCTGCCATGGGTAACAAACGCAAGAGCAGGGTTCTCAGCAGGCCAAAGAAGTGCCTTCCCCCGCGGAAAAGGACTGTCTTGGCTCGTGAAGAGCCCACAACTGAAGATGGTGATTTGGACGTATTCGTCGCAGCATCTGAGGATGTTGCAAATCAATCTTCCGTGGCATCTGATTCTTGTACTGGTGATTCAAGCGATGAGGTTATGTCCAGCGACGAGTCTGATGATGATGATGATGGTGACAGTTCCGACGAGCACAACAGTGGTAGCAGAATCGTCCACTTGCCATCCCTGACACGTCTTCTTGGCTCATCATGTGTCTGTG